GCCTTCCCTCCCCAGACACAGTACGGTTGCTCAGCCTCAGGGCAGCCTGAGCCCCATTCCCTCCCCGGGGTGCCCATCCCTTGGGGCGGGCACCGATAGCCCGCCTTTGCTCCGGGGCCAGGCGGCCCTGCCTGATGGACTGCTGGGGAAGGGGACGAGGCAGGGCCCCGCAGCCCCTTCCCCGGGGCCGGCCGGCGATGGGCGCGGGCGGGCGGACGGGGGACCCGCGTCAGCGAGTCCTGCCGGGCAGAACTAATGCCGGGCCCGCATTGTCCCCCGCCAGCCGCCGGGTGGTTTCAATACGAGCCTGTTTAACAGGGGGCTGATGGCCGGCCGAGGCGCAGAGCCGCCGCCGCTGCCGGCCCCCGCCTCCCCGCCCCCGCCGCTCCGCGCTCTTTGTAATAGTCTCATCTACAAGGACGATTGAAACTTTATAGTGCATGATTCATAGAGCGGGGCTGGCGCTCGGAGCCGCGGCGTATATTACATTAATCTGTGTCAGGCCACTAAAACAGAGATATGAATATGAATTCTCCATATTGCAGGGGAGATAAATGTGCTTGTGAATAATTGATCGGCGCCCATGGAAAAAAAAAAAAAAAAAAAAAAAAAAGGGTTAAAAAAAAGAAAAAGAAAAAAAAGAAAACGGGCTGGGGGAAACATGGGCATACCATGAAAGTTAGCCGGAGATCGAACGAGCCCCGCGAACACCAGCGCTGGTGCGGGCTGCCCGGGGCGGGGGCAGCCTCAGCCGCACCGCGCCCCCGCCCCGGCTCCGCCGGTCGCTGCTGTCGGCGGCGGCTTCGGGGCCGCTCCGGTTTCGGAGAGCGCATCAAAAACTCAACCAAAGCAGCAAGAAGGGATGACAGGAGCCGGGAACGATAACAATCATAGCCAGTTTGAGTACACACACCGTACTAATTTTCTTCTTCCCTTTCGCTGGGTTTTTTTTTTTTTTTCTTTTACCTTGTTAAAAACAGACCTTTTTCTCAGAATAAAACAACAACAACAACAAAAAAAGAATAAAAAATGAGGCATGCATACCAATCAGCGTGTTTCATAACTACGTCTCTGTGACAAAGCCAAATCCCCGTAAAGCTGCCGTTTGCTTTTAATCTGTTCTGGCAACTGCGAATTTCTGAGTTTGTTGAACTCGAGATTATATCAACTTTTCAGTGTTCTTTCTTCACAGATTTCTGCCATTCTTTTGCTACTGATAAGTAAATAATAATAAAAACAAGACTATTTTTACTGGGGGAGGATGGAGGATTATGCAAACGTATAAAAAAAAGGTGTTTTCTGGCAACCTTTTAAGTAGCACGAAAATGTATCTTGGCACTCGGTTGTCGTGCTAAAAGAAGTATATTACTCCTTGTAGTTCCCATTCGATTCAATGTAAATTTTCCTATTGACTTTATTTATCAGGTTAGGGTAGCATCATCATTGAAAAAAAAAAAAAAAGAAAAAAAAAAAAAAAAAAAAGGTAGAAAGCTAATACTTTCCAATTTACTCTTATCAGCTCGAAGCATTCCTAATTACGGCAAATCGTTTAGCTTAAGCTTCTTTATTATTCTCCCTGCACTCTGGTATTTGCCGGTATACATCTGCTGGGGTGGATGTCAATGAAAACATGACAGAAAAACTACAAATTATTTTCCTGCCAGGGTGACGTAAACGATCATTCCTAGCACGGTTCACGTGACAAGCGAAACCTCGGGATTGTGAAGCTCCCGCTCCTTCCTGACACCGGCGCGGGGCTCCCGGCGGCTCCGGGGCAGCGGGCGGGGCTGGTGTGGCGGCGTCCGGCCCGGCCCGGGGCCCGCACCGCACCCGGGCAGCCTCCGAGGGCTCCGGGCGGTAGCGCAGTGACCACCCGTACACGTCCTCTCTCTGAAACTTCCTGCAGGAGAAATGGCCACCTCGCTGTGGCTTTCCGGGGAGGGAAAGGCGATCGCCCTCCTCCCCCAGGTGCCGAACAGGCTGAGGCAGCGGCCTTCGGGGCGTGCTGGGCGCTGAGGCACGCAGCCACGCCGGAGATTTTCTGGCTTAACACGGCGTTTCTCAGCTGCCCTCAGGAATTCTCGGTTTTCCCCTTCTTAAGGGGAAGCCACTTGAGCTCCTGTCAGAAAACTTCGGCGCAAGCACGCTCCGTCCGAGCAGGCAGCCCGCAGCCCGGGCGCGCTCCTCCAGCACTCGGCATGCGGCTCCCAGGCCGCATGGGAGACCGGAGCCCGGTGCTTCAGCCCATCCCCGGCAAAGGCTCCGGGCGCCGTGGGGAAAGACGGAATGGTGCTGTCCCCGCGGGGCTTCTTTCATCGTCCCCCGCTCCCGGATAACACCCTCAGCTGGTTGGGGAGGGAAGCGCCACAACTGTTAGCGTTACTGGGGGGGAAGAGGTGGGAAATTCAAATAAGCAGATGAGGAAGAAAAAAAAAAAAATCCAGTTCTGCAACAGAGTCAGCTCTAGAGATGCTGAGGCATCCAAAGGAGGAAAACTGCCAACCAGATAACTACTGGGAATTATCACTCTCCGGAGGATAATCAGAGCTGTAAGCGCACTCCGGAGGATGCAGCTGCCTTTCTGGCCGAATTAAAGGCGGGCAGCCTCCGGCTCTCCGCCCCAGCCGAGCGGAGCCGCGGGCCGGGCGCGGGGACGGCGCCGCCCGCCGCCCACAGAGGGCGCTGCAAGCCTGCCCAAAGCGCGGCCCGCGGCTCCGCTCGGAACTGCTCGGGACGGCTCGGAACCGCTCGGGGCCGTTCGGAACCGCTCGGCCCCCGGCGCTCGGGGAGCGGGTTCCCGCTGTGAGGCGGCCGGCCCAGACGCGCCCAGGCTCACGCTGCTCCGCTCCGCACAGCTCCGGTCCCTGCTGGGCTCCCATGCCTCTCAGGAATCCCCGTTCCTGTCCCTGCTGAGGCTCCCGTGCCGCTCAGGAATCCCCGCTCCGCTCCCCCAGGGCAGTTCGGCAGCGCCGCGCTCGCCCCGCCTCGCAGAGCGTCCCGGCGCGCCTTGAAGGTGCCGTCCCCACCTCGGAGGAGCGGAGCTGGTCCCTGACAGCCAAAACAGCGGCACCCCGGACGGCCGGGCCGCTCGAGGACGGCCGCATTTCCCGAGAGGAATTTGGGAACCGGGGCAGCCGGTGCGGGACTGAGGCGATTTCATCTGGATGGATATGAAAGAGACAGCAATTGCATCAGGTTTACACCAGCACTGACCTGACGCACCATTAAGCTCTGCAGGCTTGAAGACATTTTTTCCCTCTCTCTCTCTCTTTTTTTCTTTTCTTTTTTTTTTTAATTTTATTTTGAAATACGTCTTCTTTTTCCCCGAAGGCTAAATTACTCTAGTTTGGTAAAAAGTGCAGTGTTCTCTTTTGTTGGAACAATTACCAACTGTGATTTGAGAAAAGGGGAAAAAAAATACACCGAAACAACTAAGAGCCAAAATACAAACTAATTTATGGTGTGCTAGGAGCTGCAGGATGTCAAAATGAGTCTCTTTCCAGAGGCTCTCCTTCAGATATTCCACACAAAATCTATTTTGCCTGACCTGTTTCTCTATTCCATCAGAAAAACGTAAAATGTAGGAGCTTGCCGCCTCCACCGCTTTGCCAACAGATCTCTAAGCCATAGTTTACGGAGGTTGCTCTTTGACTGACATGATTTTGCAGCTAAATCAAGATCAATATTCTGATCTCTGACAAGAATTTTATTAATATTTTATTTGAAAATCTCATCTTGTTTCCGACAAGTCCTGGTTTGAGGTTGGTTTAGTTTGGATAGGGCGTCACCGCATTATTTCTTAATGACTTTCCCAGCTGCTTCTTTCCATTTTCCACCATCAACAACCATCTGGTATCTTATTAGCACCTCAATGCTCATTTAGTGTTCTCATTTAGGAGGGAAAAAAAGAGAAATAAACACTCAAAATATTACACATTTCAACGGACTGTCTTTGTAAGATTAATGCCTTTATAAAACGATAGATCCTGTCTCTCAGTCTATTTTCAACCAGCAGATCGGAATCGCAAAACTTTCTTCTAAGATGTGCAAGAGCTGCTTTTTATTTTTCTTTCTTTCTTTTTTTTCTTCTACTAAGATTGTATTTAATCTCAGAGGAAAATATCTTTCACTGTTTCATTTCCTCTGTATTTATTCAAAGCGCATATTGCTACAAATAATTATTTTTTCTAAACTATGATTTTTATTTTTTTTATCTTGGGTGAGAATATATACCAAAGCACTAAAGCTCATGATCCATCTTAGCAACCAATTTGGACAGCAAAGTTATACACTAGGGAACTTTAAGAAAACTTGTCCCTTTCAGTTTTAAGAAACTATTTTGTAGCGTAAGTGGAAGTCAGGTCCATTCATGTCTGGAAAATGGATACTACGGAACACATCTGAATCACCGCAAATGAAAAAATAACTTTAATATTACTGAGGCAGGAGCCAGCTTCACTCAACTTCGTAAATTTGCGTGTATAAAAAAGGAAGCTCGCAGCTTGTTTTTGGCAAAATAGCTTGGATTTGCTACTTGAAGTTTCACTTACCCAAAGGAGGAGACTTGACTTTTTTAGAAAACTAATTATAAACGTTTGAATAGATTCGTAATATATGTATAAGATCTGTGGCAACAGAATACATACCTGAAGAGAGCTCATAATTTCATTTAGTTTATTAGACAAAAATATATGATTTAGACAAGTTTTGCTGACGTGTTATTTACAATCTGAAATCACTCTATATACAGAAAAAAGAAAACCACAAACACATGGGAAACATTTACCAAACAAATAATCCAAGAATGGTTAGAATAACACGATCTGAAATGGTACAATGAGGAAGGGGATCCATCTACAGATTTGTGTAATGCTTTTATGGATTTGCACCACCTTATTGCAAAAAGAGATTGATGGGAGTCGTTTGTACCGTTTCCTTTTTTTTCACTCTCTCTGTCCTTAATACCAGTCTCTGTAATATTTTTTCACCAAATCATTTAATCAAGCAGAAGGGAGAGCTGTTAAAATTCTCGGTGTTCCCTCTTGCTGAGCCAAAGAGCTGCAGGGGGGGAAGGGAGGAAGGAAAAAAAAAAAAAAAAAAAAAAAAAAGACATAATCTTTCAGAAAAAAGTTATCTTTTTTTTTTTTTTTAATTGCGTGTCTACTTCTATAGCATCTTAGTAATAGATAATCGCACAAAAATCATTGTCTCTGGTGTAATTAACACAGGATCTTTGAGATCTGTTAAGTTTTAGAAAAGTTACAGTCTGACTATGTACCATTGCAATTTAGCCTATGTTTGAAAAGATTAGAGAAACTCCTGTGCTGTTCTCATTGTCGGTATGTATTATTATGGCGATGATTAGGTGTTATAATTAGTCTTTATTATTCAAACACTCTGTTTCACATAAGTAACATTCCTACAGTGAAAACAAACAAACAAACTCACTTGTCACGGACAGGCTGGAAGGGCGATTTTAGCGGCTGGGGTGGGGAGTCAGTTCTTGGTACATTTTCTCTTTCTAGAAGGAGACAAAAAAAAAAAAAAAAAAAAAAAAAAAAAAAAAAAAAGATAAACCAAAAAAAAGAAAAGAAAAAAAAAAAAAGCCAAACAAAAACAGAAGAACCATTTTAGAATAACAAGAGTAAGAATCTGGACACTGCAGAGAACACGCTTCCCTCTCACCCTCCTGTTCAGACAAGAACAGATACATGTGTATGTGTGTGCAGTGCTATACCCTACTTTCAGTATTTAAGTAGTCTGCAAGCTTTTCTTGACACATTTCTTACTGTCATTGAAGTTATTGGGAGATGAAGGTCGTGAAAGAGGGAAGGAAAGCTCAAACCTATACATTTCACTGCGCTCTTCCTGAATTTTCATCTTACTTGATGGGCATATAGGGTGAGAATGTAACAGGCCACGTGAAATGTGCATAATGTATGTGACCAACACGCTGGGTGGGGGGCCGGAAATCAGCGCTAGAGTAAACTGTAGCTCCATTAAAAGCAATCAGTTACACCAGTGTGACACCATTCCTCAAGGAGAAGTTCACGTGCACGTGTTGGGGGTGGAGGGAGAGGTGAAAGCCTGATACATTAATTACCTATGTGTTTGGGACTGGTCCTCTCTGAAGGTTTGTCGCTGCTTAGCGCTCCCAGGGTTGCTGTTAAAACAGAAGATTGTTGCTGGGCCTGGAGGTGGTGATTGTGATGAGCAGCATGGTGGTGATTTACTCCCAAAAAGGACCTCACATTTAGAAGGGAACTCTGGGTGAGGAAAGCCCCATTTGTCCAGTTGTGAAATTTGCCAATCTGGCATGTGTAGAGTCCATGGCTAGGGAGAAAAGCAGGGTGCTGAATCTGAGAAGTGTGGTTAACCTGGGGAGGAGGTGGTGGAGGAGGAGAAGATTTCAGGGCACCATCAGGACTGGTTGCCGTCTCTGCCAAAGACCAAATCTTGGGTTTGCTGTGAGATGGCATCTGTAAATTGTTTGGTCCCCCAGGACTGATGATTCTCGTGCTATTGTCAGAGGCCTCCTTCACTATAGCCAGTGCATCTTTGGGTTTCAGCCCTTCAGACCCTGACAGTGCCAAATCCTTTTCCTTTTCCAAGTGCTCCTCTTCACTGCTTTGTCTCAGGAGCTCGGGCTTCTCCTCCTCCTCCTCATTGCTCTGCTCCCCATCATTCTCATCGATTTTATCTATATCTATGCTCTCCAGGTCAATTTCCTCATCATCTTCATTCTTCTCGGGGTCCCCCTCATTGTCACTCCCGAAGAGGTTTGCATCTTCTTGGTCCTTACTCCTGGAGCCCCAGGTCACCTTGTTCTCCTTCTTGAGCCGCCGGCGGGCGTTGGCGAACCAGGTGGAGACCTGGGTGAGGGTCATCTTGGTGATGATGGCCAGCATGATCTTCTCGCCCTTGGTGGGGTAGGGATTTTTCCGGTGCTCGTTGAGCCAGGCCTTGAGGGTGCTGGTGCTCTCCCGGGTGGCATTTTTGGGCCGCCCCGGGTCCCCGTATTGGAATTGTCCGTAGGGATAATAGGCGGGGGCAGTGTGGGCAGCAAAGGTAGCAGGGTGGACACCCGGATTATCTTTCAGCTCGTACTGGGAGCCCTGCAACACATTCAGACAAGCGGAGAGGAAAAAGCACATCAATTATCTCGTTAGCGTCTCTAACGGACCTGAATAGGCTACTCCGGGAGCCGGAATACGCCTTTCAGCGGTGCAAAGTGTCTTCACAGCCAAATTCGGCCCTGCCCGTTCCAGGCTCTTCACATTTAGGTCATACAGAGAGGTGTTCCCAAATGATTCCCCCTTCTTGCAGGGAAAGGAAAGAAAGGTGCTAAGCGGGGCTCTGACAGACATTATGAGTATTTTCTCCGGAAACCAAACCAAACCAAACCAAACGATGGAAACGCAGCAACTTCGCCTTCACCTCGGCGAGACAATTTACTGTGCCCTTGAAATTATCAGGCACATAGAACAGGTACTACACCGCAGTTACAAACTAATGCCCGCGCACAGCGCCGCATTTATCTGCAAAGTATCCAGGAGGATGTTAGAAATGCATGCAGAGCATTCTTTATTTTTGCTCCTAATGAGATGAGGCTGGGGTCATGCACAACTTCAGTATGAAGAGGCTTATAATGTGAAAGACTTTCCACACAAATGCCAACACCACCATCTCCTCTCCCCAAATCATACACCAAGATTCTGGAGTAAAACATTAACTTCTAACTGTTAGAAGAGCTTTTAAACTCTGGAATGAAAACTGATCCACGCATTGTAGAATATGGATATGTAGACACTTTATCTCATAAGTTTTACTTTGATCCGGCCAAAGCAAACACAAGTTGTTTACAAGCATTTAGAGACGGTGATTTATTTGCAATCAATATTCTTTTTATCATCAGTAGTAAAACACAGCAAGTCAAATTAACCCATCAGGTGTTTTGGTAAATAACATTTTATCTTTCTAGCAACCTCATTAGGCCTCATTATTACCGCAAATTGCCCAGATATTAACTTAATATTTTAGTTCTTAATTTACAAATGTTCAGAAATTTAGACTTTATTTCAAAATATCACCGTCATGGTTAATCACTGTAATAAAATACCAGGATACTTTGCGAGTAGGAACGGGACCTATTCCAAAATAGCTAACATTTCAAACAGTTTTCTTTCTTTATTTCTTCTATTACAATCTCGCCTTTTTCTTGTTTTGTTTTTGTTTTTGTTTTTTGCCTAGTCCAGAAATACATTCTTCATACTACTATGTCATAATTTATGTCAGCCTTAGAAATCGACCTCTTCAATGATGTTTGTGAAGAAACTAATTTAACTTTGTCAAACAGTTAAGAAGGATCATGTATTTTAATTTCAGAGACACCGCTTATACACAAAGACTAGCCCGATGTAATTTTTGTAATGTGTTACAGAGTAGGCTTTCTGCACTCCCTTTATTCTGCTGTCTTTTGTTATTGTTGCTGAAATTATATTTTTTTGTGTAAACTCTGTTGGGAATTCTTTTGAAGAAGCCACTTGTGAATCACTCATTGCTTCTGTCTCAACTTTTACTGCATTTCCAAAATCAAGGTTTAAAAAAGAGTAGGAAATGCATGCTGTTTAAATTGACTTTATAGGAAATATTTGCTGTGGAAAAATTATCGGTTTCCAGATGCTGTCTCTTGTTCAACAGCGTATTTTCCTATTTGCCTACATATATTTATTAAAAACTGTAACAAGTTATGCAATGCATGCATTCAGTTATAAATATTCACACTTTTCTGTGTCAAGGGGAGAGAAAGAGGGACATTTAGAAAATTAAGTGGAACCTATGCGTAGCACCGCCGACAATTTTGGTGATACCAGCAACTGAAACGTTTCAACTACACCGGATATAAAAACAGTTAGTTTAAAAAAAATTGTTTCACTTTCTAACTATTACGTTTTTAAGAAAATGTCGAATTAATCCCGAGAACAGTCTGGGTGGCGACAATTTATCTTAGAATTAACGCCGATATGCGTTCCTGCCTCGATGCCTATAATGGGATGTAGATGCCCTCTTTCGCTTCATGCAAACCCCATCTATGATACCCTCCATAATCAGAGTACGAAAAGTTTCAAGGAACGGAACGGGACATTTTCAAGGTTTAAGGAAAATGCCTTGAAATACACGGGAGCCCCAAGTACCGACACTTTGGCCTTTCGGACGGAACCTGTTTATTGCTCAGCGGCAAAGAAAAGTACCAAGCGAAAAGAGGAGCGCGCTGGAAAGCCCAGTGAAACAGCAGGACCGACAATATCACCCGTCAACAACAACACCAATAACAACAAAGAAAGAAAAGAAAACAAAAAATAACCGAGTTGCTAGGGAAAGCCGACAATACGGAGGCAGGAGCCCTGCTTAGGGGTTCCACCGCCAAGAAAAACTCGGAGGAGTTTTGCCCGGCTGGAAGACGAAGAGGATTGGGGGCTTCCCGTGCAGACGGAGCCCGCGACCCCCAGCCCCTATCTGCCCCGCAGACCCGTCGACAGCCACGCTTCCCTCTCCACGGCGGACCCCGCGCCGGGTGTGAGCCGCCGCCGCGGCCACCCCGCCGCCCCCGCGCTGGCTCCGCAGCCTCCGCCCGCCCCCGGCTCCTCCGGCTCCCCCGGCCTCCGCGGCCGCGCTCGGCGGGCCCGGGCAGGCGCGGGGGGCAGCGCGGTGCTCACTCACCATTTGGGAGAAGAGGCCGAGGTCGGCGGTGTAGGGCAGGAAGGCGCTGTAGTTGGGGGCGCTGTAGGGGCTGGCGTACATGCCCAGCACCGAGGTCGGCGGCGGCGGCTGCGGCGGCGGCGGCCAGCACCCCGGGCCGGTCGCTCCCGTACACCGCCTGGCTGGCGCTGAGATACTGCGGGTAGCCCAGCTGGGGGAAGGACATCTCCGGGGCGCGGGCACAGAGGCGGCGGCAGCAGCACTGGCGGCAGCAGCAGAAGCGGCAGAGATATTAAAAAAAAAAAAAAAAAAAAAAAAAAAAAAAAAAAAAAAAAGAAAGGGGGAGGAGGGAGCCTGCTGAAGAGCCGGGGAGGGGAGCGGAACAAACCCGGGCTTCTCTGGATCTCTCTCTCTCTCTTTCTTTTTTCCTCCCCCCCGCTCTTTACTGGAGTCAGGCAGGGCGAGAGAAAAGAAATCGAGCCGATAATTTTCTTTTTTCGTTCTGATTTCTTTCTGTCAGATATATATTGCACCCTAGGTATGGAGGAGGAGGAGGAGGAGTGTGGCAGGATTCAGTGGGGTGTCTTTCCTCAAATCTCGGCTCTTCTGTGCTCCTAAATCCCTTAGATGTGATCTGATCAACAATTGAGCTCCAACTGATGTGTCTGCCCTTAGGTCCTAGGCTGATCTTTCAGATACAATTTGAAGTTGATGTTTTGATTGGCACCCACTTGAGCTGGAAGCGCCGCCCCGCGCCCCCCGCCCGCCCCGCGCCCCCCTCGGCGCAGCACGTGGTGCGCAGCCCAGCCCGGGCCGCTCGGCTCGGAGCTGCGTGTGCGTGTGTGTGTGCGTGTGTCCGCGCAGCTGCTGTGCTCTGCTCCGGGTGTATTTAATGTTTAGCAATGGGCTCCTTTCAGAAAAGCCCCCACTGCTGTATGACAACCTGTCTACACGATTTTACAGCTGTCCAACATTGGGGTTTTGCTGTTTCGCAGCCTTAGTGTGTCCCCTTTTAACAAAAACAACTGTGTTGCTGGGGTTTTTTTTCCACCTTTAACATTGAGTCCCCCTTGTCGTCGTTGGACTCAGGAACAAACTAGAGTGGCCGTGAGAGGAAAAGGGGGCTTTGCAGCCAGGCAACTTGTAACAATTTACCAATACCAAAAAAAAAAAAAATAAATAAATAAATAAATGCAATCTCTCTACAGCAACCCACAAACGCCACTCGTACACAAACACATATGCGCAACTTTGCTGAAAGTCAAAAGGCTCCTAGCAGCACTTCCCATAAGAATCTTTACTAAAAGGAAAGAAAAAGAAAAAGAAGAAAAAAAAAAAAAGAAAAGAAAAGAGGGAAAAAGAAAGAAAAAGAAAAATGGAGGAAAAAAAAAAAAAAGAAAAAGACCCGCAGCGATTCGATCCTCCCCGCCGCCCTTTCTCCTCCTCATGCCCTGCCGACGGATTGACACTCAGGGACAATTATCATAGGCATTGCGACAGTTCTCGGAATACTGGAAATAAATAATCCCACGAATCAACAACCTCGACATGTATGCCGAGGGGCACAGAGGAACCCCAACCCTTGCCCCCGAGCGGGGGTGGGGGTTAGGGGGAAACAGAGTGTCTTGTTGGTTGTCAAACTTCCATCCTCCCGTTTCAGTGGGGACCGAAGGAAACACATCGAGGGGTAAACAGAGGGAGAGAGACGAGGCGGGGAGACACAAGGGGTGACACACACGAAAGGACCAAAACGAGCTCTTGCCATTATGATCATTAACAACAACGATTAGAGGAAGGGATTTTTTCCTCTCTCCTTCTCTTTCTCCCCTTGGAGAGGGGTGGAAGGTGCAGCGGGAGACAAAGGACTCCTCTGCGAGGGACCGGGCCGCCTTAAAGGAGGCGGGCTGTCACCGCTGTGCCCTGCCTGCGGTGTTGTCCAGTTCCTCGACGTGCCTGGGCTCGCCCGAACCGCGTTGGGACCGAGAGAGCATCGCACTGTCCGGGCGGCACCGCAAACTTTCCCTTTCCTACCGCTGCCGGGCCCCTCCCAGCTCCCCCGCTGTGGAAAACGAGGAGCGCGGGGGCGGCGGGCCGAGGGCTGGGCGTTTCTTGCCCCGACCTTCCCAGCCCCGGTGGGACTGCCGGGGGCCGCTCTGCCCCACAAATTCAGCGCGCTGCCCGCGCCGGGGCTGCGCTCCCGCTCCGCCGGCTGCGGAGAGAGTCCGCAGGGCCGGGCCGGGCGCTGCCGTCCCTTTGGCCGGCCCCGGCGGAGAGGCTCCGCGGAAGGGCGCGGAGTTGCCGTCCCAGGCCCAGCCCTCGCCGCCGCGGTCCCCGCAGTCCAGGAGATCCGTCTTTGTGCGGAAGGGACGGCAGAGCTCTTCCTTAAGGGACAGCGCGGCGCGGAGCGGCTGCAGACGCAAAGGCCCGCGGCTTTTCGGGATGCAAGTGTTTGGCAGGGGAGAGGGGGAAGGGAAGGAGAAGGAGGAGTGGGGGAACAACGGGTGTCTCTCTCCTTTTCCCGAGCCCAGAGCTAGAGCCAGCCCTAAGGTTAGGGCCGCTCCGCGGGGCTTCGCGCCCCCTCTCCCTGTTTGCGGCACAGGGCTGAGGCCGGCAGCCCGGATCCCGCCGGGAACCGGCCGCGCGGGAGCGGAGGGAAATGCCTCCCCGCCTGCCAACGCCCCCACGGGGTGTCTCCAACCCCGGCCAGCCCTCTCCTGCCCGTGCTCCAGGGAACCGCTCCGTCTCACGGTGTTGATTAAACTTCCTTCCCCATCAGTTGGAAATAGGGAACTTTCCCCTTCCTATGTCTAACAGGGAGAGCAGTACCTCCCCCGCACCGCTCCAAAATCTCACCCTCAAAGCAGGACAGCGACCCTCAGACAAAAATGCACCGCCGTAACAGAGCTGAGTGGGACTTGAAATTTGCAGCCTTATTTTGCGAATGGAAGTGTCACATTACAAGGGCTTCAGGTAAATAAAGGTGGGATAAGGCACCGATGCTGCCGAAATCTTCTTAGCTCTTTAGATCTGTGTGGAATGTGTATCCAGAAAAGGTTTCCACTTGGAGGCTTAAGAAATGTGAGTCATCCCCTCCCCCACTCCCTCTCATCCTTCTCGGATCGGTTAGGGGAAGAAAAAAAAAAAGGGAAAGAAAAAGGAAAAAAGTCTCCTTTGCTTTTCTATCAGCCCTGCATCTTTTTGGTGCGAACTTTGCTACTCTTCACCTTGAGTAGAAATAGCCAAAGTAAATAAAAAGTGCAGGTTACCTGTAACTGTGATTTCGGAAAGAAAAAAAAGAAGGGAGACAAGAAAAAAAAAAAACCCAACAAAACAGCAACAAACGCAAATTGGAAGGAAAAGAAAATAGGAAGGAAAAAAAACGCCAAGGAGGGGGGAAAAGTTAGAAGACTGGTATGAAAGCTTTGTTCGTCATCTGCAAAGTTCCTTGCACAAGGATGAGCAGGGTCCTGCGAACGCCATTAATTATGCACAATTCTGATCAGAAAATGCCAATCCCCAAGCGATTCCTGCTCCTGCACAAGATATTGCCCATTTTTTTTTCTTATGACGGTTTATTAAGTCACTTTAGTAGGCAACCTTTCAAAGCCCTTTTTAATTTTTCCCCCTTGTGCAAGTAAGCTGGGACCAGAGCTGCTACACTAAGCTCCTTACTTGAAAATCAGTTTAGTGAAGGTCTGGGAGATTCTGGGTTTATTTCCTCCCATACAAGACCTATAGCAGGAGCTTAATAACAAAAGTGCGAAAAGAACGAAACTGTACGGAAAATTACAAACATCAGCAGCAGCAGCCCGAAGGGCTAGAAAAATCTTTCCCTAAACCCTGGACCTAAACAGCCCAAAAGGTCGCTGTGATCAACCCCTCCTACCTGTAAGTTAGCTTCAAATCAAAAACAGGTGGAGTGAAATACAGATTAAAAAAAAAAAAAAAAGTTCTAATCATAATTCGGGAAAAAAAAAAACCCCAAAAAAACAACTCTTTCTTTTAGTCTTTTTTTTGCCAATTTTCTCCCCTGAGAACTGTGTTGTAGTTGCTTGAACGCCTCCTTAACTTTCTGCAAGACCTTACAAAAAGGAGTGCGGTGCCAACTCATTAGCCGAACAGCGTTTTAAAAGACGATAAACAGTCACGTAGCAAAAAAGGATTTGGGCTGAGAGTGAAAAGCAGTCACCTTCCCGTCGGAGAGCGGATGCACATCAGAAATCAGCTGGGAGAGAAATACCTAACAGCGCTGGGCATAATGTGATTATACCTAAGGTAATCGCTTAAAATAAATTGTATACTGTTTAAAGTAAATCGACCTAAATGGCCACGCTCATCTAATTCAAAGATCATTGGGCAGATAAACTTCTTAAGGAGCCTTTCTTGAGAAAGAGTTTGCTAAGACAGTGTGATCCTTCCAGTTTCTTAAGGCGATGCATCCAGTGCCAAGAGATTTTCTCTTTATTATTAACAAATCAGTTTAGATAGGGGTCCGATAAGAAATGCAAATCCAGACATAGGGGTCGCTGCTTGGCCGAATTTTAACTGAAGGCTGGTTCTGCGGGAATTGACTACAGGGTATATTTGCGAAGAGGCTGTGTGAAGCTTTTACACTGACTCTACTGAAAAATGAAGTCAGTGATTTTGATCTGCTCCAGATGTCCTAAGAGTGGATATTGCAGTGCTGGGAATCCGCACCAAATATCTGAGGGCAGTGATGGTAATCAGCGCAACCCATCAGCCAGGGGGGACTGGCAATTGTGATAACCTGCTGCAAATGCGCAGGGCTGGAGATGGCAGTGATAAACCGCTGAAAATATCTTCAAATGGAGATGACAGAGATGTTGAAAGGAGACACCTAACTATGGGGAGAATAGGATACTAAGCAGAGCACAATCTGAGAGTGCAGTTCAGATACTTACTAGTCTACGGTTCACCCGTGTAATTTCCACAGTGATACATGAGTTCGGGCGCCGTCTCCGCGGGCAGACACACGAGCATATGGCTCCGTTGGTTAAACTCGGGGTTTATGCGGCGTTGATAATCAGATCTACCAAAAGAAAGGGAGGTTTAGTCTCTAAAGCGCCTTGTTTGTGGCTTGGGGAGAAAAGTTTTCATTTAATTCTGTAACTGCTCTGAAACATCCTGGTAACGATTTATTTTGCAAATCCTCTTTTCATTTTCAGCTCTCACCGGTAATAGACAAAGATATTTAAGATTATTTCT